CGTCATCAGTCATATACATACATACTCTCCATATACAAAGAAGACCTTAGTTAATATGAGTATTATTCAAGTACATACAGTAATAACTGTAGCTAAAGAGGAGGAAATTAAGGATTCCTACCAACTTTTGGAGGCTCATGTGTGAAGCAGCTGGATTTTGGAGGGTAAGTTCTCTTGCTTTAGTTGAAAGTTGGGTGTAAAACTGGTTATTTTTTATTTTGTTCACAGTTGAGTGTGAGCTAATTGCCCTCATTTTCTGGATTTAGCTAACAATCAGCTGTGAGCTGAAAGCCTCTTGTTTAAATCAACCAGGACCTGAGATGCAGGACTTTGTATTTAAAAGTTCTTGACTAAAGCTCCAGTTTGGAGGCTTATGTGTGAAGCAGTTGGATTTTGGAAGGTAGGTTCTCCTGTATTAGTTGAAAGCCTGGTGTAAACTGCTTGATTGGTTTTTATTTTGTTCCCAGTCGTGTATGAGCTGATTGATCATCTGGATTTAGCTAACAATCAGCTGTGGGCTGGAAGCATTGTCATGTTGTTGTTATGTGTCATCAACTCACCTGCAACTCATGGCGACCGTACATACAACAGCTCTGAAGCCTTCCCTGTCCTGAACCAGTCTCACTGACCTTCACATGACTACCCCCATTGTCCCAGTTCCTGTATTAATGCATTTCATCCGGGATCTTTCTCTCCTGTGCTGTCTCTCTGCCTTCCAAGTATGATGTTTTTCTCCAAGGACCAGTCCCTTCTGGACACTTTCCCAAACTATATGAGATGGAATTTCAAAATTTTAGCTTCCAAGGAGAAATTTGGTTTCAATCTCTTCAAGACAGACTTATTTATTTTCTTGACAGTCCATGTTATGTTCAAAACTCTTCTGCAGCACCACAACTCAAAGGCATCAATTCTTCTTTTGTCATCCTTAGTCACTGTACAGCTCTTTGATGCATATCAAGTAATTGTGAAAACTATGGGCTGGATTAGGCACACCTTAGCCTCTAGATTTACATAGTTGCTTCTCAGTACTCTGGAGAAGTTCTTGACAGTAGATTTTCCAAGCACAGTCCATCTGTTGATTTCCTGACTGCTGGTGCCAAGAGTATTGTAAGCTGTAATTGTTAAACTCAATCTCTTCTCCATTTATCACGGTGCTGCAGTTAGTCCAGGGGTGAAAATTTTTGTCTTCTTGATACTGAGCTTCAATCCATAATGTAGACT